GTTTTGGATCTTTTATTTGATATGTACAGTATTTGAAGAATTGTTATGATGCCTAGGGTTTGCAACACCACATCCCAGATCATTGACGTACGTTAAGTGTGATCTAAGAGCATGATTTTTTTTCTTCCTGTGGATATCCTGCCATGCAATTTTTCAAAAGCCTATGACTTTTCTCCACCCTTTCATACCTTTTTCTAGAAAAGGAAGTCTGTGGATCAATTGCTCCTTCATTAGAAGACCTTTGATCAGAATTCTTAGTTTTATCCTTGCCTGGTTCACTATTAAACATAATGGCCAATCAAGTTTTATTGCTGGACAAGACCATCTTTCAGATGTTGGAAAACAGTGTTTTTCAGTTTTCATTGGTCCACACATCTGAAGAGATGAGATTTCTGAAATCAATTGGAACCTGTTAATTATGCACACCCTTCTGTTTAAATGTGGTCTTTCCAAATAACACAGTATGTATCCTTTCTATATGGATACACATATGTCGCCAACATATGCGAGGTTCTAGAGTGAACCATATTTTACTGAATTCACAGGACCAACTGTTTTCTAGTTGTGACAAATAGATAGCAATATTATTTTTACTGTGCCAGCAGCTTTTCTAATACTTTCCAATACCACTTGCCCACAAAATGTGGTTGATGAAGAATTAGCTCATGTCTCTCTCAAAGAGATCCATTCTCCTCAACATTCATCTGATAATTGCCCCACAAAACTTCAAAATGCTGTGCAATTTTCCCTTTCCTCCTCCTAGGCAAATGATTTTAGAAATCATACACAGCTTGGTCCTTTACCCAAAATAACCTCTTTGGAAACACTTCTACTTGAAAGTCATTCGAATACAAATTGCTTCCAGGCTGCAAAGTCAAGGATATAGTCCTGAGTCTCTGACGGCTGACATTAGTCCTTCTTTTATCATCCCTACTTTATTAAACAAAGTTAAACACAATATTTAATCCCTCCCCATGGGTTGATTATTAATGCCAAAGCAGCACAGCTGCTTGGCAGCAGATACCTAGCTAGTCAATCTCTCCTCATTCACCAAAGTGTCATATGGAGCAGAAGCAATTTTTCCAAAATTAATATAGAAAACTCCTTGACTCACCCTGGACCCTCCATAGATAGATTTTTCTCAATGATTCAAAATGGCAGCATATCATTATTTTGGTTTGCTCCTGACACAATAAATAAATAATTTTGACCTATGACTGGTCACTTACACTAGTATTTTGCCAAGCACATCCTACCCAAGATCTCTCTTTTGAGACCAAAACACTGTGGAGTAGCCAGTGTGGCATCTCCATACCATAACCTTTTGTTGGCTATAGCATCTATTATATCATTGTGGGGGAGGGAGGGAGTGGGTGGAAGAAGTTACTGCTGTTATTTATTTCTCTGAACTGCCACAAGATAGTAATGTTCTTGCTCTCTCTGGCTGGTAAAAATGAAAAAAAAGGAAAAGAAAAGAAAAGAAAAGATGGCATGCTGGGGAGCAAAGAGGGAGGATTCTTGGGGTGCAACATTATGTGGTAGTGGTAAAATGAGGGCAGGAATTCAGACTCTCTCTTTCTTTCAGTCCCCAAACTTCTAGCATTGGAGAGAGTGACATGGAAAATAATTCACACCTAGAAGGTCAATATATGCTGTTTTGCATCGCTTATGTAATTTTGCCTTCCTCTTTTCTTTGGATGACCATTGTTGTTGTTGTTCATTCGTTCAGTCGTCTCCGACTCTTCGTGACCTCATGGACCAGCCCACGCCAGAGCTCCCTGTCGGCCGTTACCACCCCCAGCTCCCTCAAAGTCAGTCCAGTCACTTCAAGGATGCCATCCATCCATCTTGCCCTTGGTCGGCCCCTCTTCCTTTTGCCTTCCACTTTCCCCAGCATAATTGTCTTCTCTAGGCTTTCCTGTCTCCTCATGATGTGGCCAAAGTACTTCAACTTTGTCTCTAGTATATTTCCCTCCAGTGAGCAGTCGGGCTTTATTTCCTGGAGGATGGACTGGTTGGATCTTCTCGCAGTCCAAGGCACTCTCAGAACTTTCCTCCAACACCACAGCTCAAAAGCATAGATCTTCCTTCGCTCAGCCTTCCCTAAGGTCCAGCTCTCACATCCGTAGGTGACTACAGGGAATACCATGGCTTTGACTAGGTGGATCTTTGTTGCCAGTCTGATGTCTCTACTGCAGTATGGTCATTGGATGACCATACTGCATTTCTAAATGAAGTTTTAAGTTACTGTATTGCTGGAAAATTGGGGACTGAAGGAAAATTTCATTTGTGTGACAGAACTCAAATGAGGAGCTCACATTCTTATTTTGAAGCCCTTTCCATCCACCTCCCACCCTTGGAGGAACCAATAATATATTTACACATTAGAACATCCTCAAATAGCTTGTTGGGAATCAGAATATGAGATTTTTTAAAACTTCAAAATCTTAATGTTGTCAAAAATAAGTACAGAAAGCATAAGACTGAAAGACAATACCAGGGTGTTTGCTTTTTCCATCCTATGCCTATGTTTTTTATCGTGGCCTCTGCAATATTCACATTCATATCAAAACATATTAATATGCTCAAATCCAGATTTTCATGAGAATGTAGCAATTTTGGCATTTCCTCAGTTAATTCACAAACAAAAACCATTATTCCTTAGTGTTCATACTTCTTTGATCTTTGTAATGCAATTTAACAATTAAAATATGCATGTACGTATTTGTGAGAACTGCATAAAATATATATTGCAGAAAATGTCCTGTTTTTCCTCCTCTCCCCTTTTGTTGTATACATTGAAACTTTTTAAGGAAAAAAATGTGCTCAAAATATGCACATTAGACAACATAACAGAAAAAATAAGTATAATGAGGAACAGTGATTTGAAAATGCAATTAACTTTGGGGCAGGTTTTTTATTTAGTTGCATATGGATGACACAAAATTTATATCTAGAAAGAAATACTGTATATTTTCTTAATTACCAATATACTGTATTTACTCAAGTATAAGCTGAGGCACCTAATTTTACCATAAAAACTGGGAAAATGTATTATCTCAAGTATAAGCCAAGGGTGTGAAATACAGCAGCTACTGGTAAATTTCAAAATAAAAACAGATACCAATAAAATTACATTAATTGAGGCATCAGTAGGTTAAATGTTTTTGAATATTTAGATAAAACTATAATTTAAGATAAGACTGTCCAACTCTAATTAAACCATTATTCTAACCTTCTTCAGTGTAAATATGCTTATATATCCTTCCAATAATAAATGTAATAAAAATAATACAGTAAAATAATCAAAATGTAATAATAACAGTAATAATAGAGTAAAATAACTAATAATAATAAATAAAGTAAAATAATAAATGTAATGATAATAATAATAATAATAATAATAATAATAATAACAGAGTAAAATAATTTTGACTCGCGTATAAGCTGGGGGGGGGGGGCTTTTTCAGCCTAAAAAGGGGCTGAAAAACTTGGCTTATACTTGAGTATATACAGTAATCAATTTAAAACAGTTCAAGTGGCCAAATTTTCACATCATCAAAAATTATCAGTAAAGTATTTCAGTCACGTTAGTAGGGCTACATTGTCTGAATAACACTAGTTTTTGTCTTTTTAAATATCTATTTATAAATATATAGACATCCAAAGGAGTATACAACATTATGTTATGATTTGTTTCTCATTTATTTGTGTCTTGATGTTGTCTGCTGGTGACCTTATGCATTTCACAGGATTTTCCTTTGACTAAAAGATACACACAGGTGGGAAAACACATTCAACATGTTTGCAAAAAAGAGTAACATCTCTCTCTCTTTTGCACTAAAAGTAACATATCCAGAAATGCAGAAGAACTCAACGTATCTATTTCCAAAATAAAACAAGCCCTCAAACCAGAAAGCATGTGATTCTGAAGTCTGAAGTATTTATTTTGACTTTCATACCTCCCTACTCCTTTAATTTTTTTAATGAAAAAATACTTTAAAAGAAAAGAAGTGATACTATTATAAATAAAGTTGATCACTTTCAACTTCTGATTTCAACAGAAACATAGGAAGCATGTACCTATCTCTTATTGAAGCTGGTGGGTTTGGTTGATCTTTCATAAAGACTGTACTGTGCCTTTAATATTTAAAATCAGTTTTTTCACTGCACATTTACCCTTCTTTGATGGCAGAACATTTTATAGGAGACTGGAAGAATCACAGCCTTTCAAAGCTGGTGAATAATAATCCGAATGGCCTCGCAACATATCCGCACCCTGAGGTCCTGTGGGTATATATGAAGGTCAAGACAGAACATTCTCTCTTGACTCTGAAACTATTATCCAAAACCTCACAGATTATTTCAAAGTATATAATTTATCGTATAATCCCACAAGAAACTCTTATTAACTTCTGTAAAGTTTACTCCTAGGAAAGTCACCACACATTTGCAGCTTAATGATACATGAAAAACTTTTTGATTTTTCAAAAATAATAGACATTTCAAATGTATTTATTTCTTTTATGATTTACTGTATTTATATACCACTTTTCTCACATTTGGCGGGACTCAAGGCAGTTTACAACATACTAATGGCAACAATTCAATGCCAACATACAGTACACAAAGAAATCATAATAACAAATTACTACTGTACATATCACTATGAACTTAAAATCAATTAAAACCATTAAACAAAGGACATACATAAAATTTAAACATTCAGCATAAAATCATCCTAGCATAAACATTAAAATCCCATTATCCATGATCAAAGAAGAACTCCAGAACAGTGCTTCAAATTTTAAAAGGAAACTATCAAGTTGATCCTGCATTACAACTCCAAAATACCTACAATTTCCTAATCTCACAAGAGGCAAAGAACTTATGTACTATTCATAGCCATGCTTCCTTGGTTCAGGCAATATGTTATTGCCTTGTTTGCTTTTCAAGAGGATTAGAAATGCACTCACACAACCTACACATTTTTAATTTACCTGGTAAAATATTTGGACCGCTGCCACTTTCCAGAAGGCTCTTCTGCTTTGTCTCTTGGAGCTCACTTTTGGATTTCCAAATGAGCTTCACCATCCTGAACATCTTGGGCAACTCCCAAGCCAGGGTCCCCCAATGCCAGGCAGGGCGGTTGCCCGGGGACAAGGGCACCAGGTCTTCCTCAACCCCCCAACGCCTTCCCATGTCTGACAGGCTGAAAAACCTCTCCAGCACAGGCATCCTCCACAAGACTGCTGCCAGGGCTGGAGAGGAAAACTCCTCAGACTCCAGGAAGAATAAAAGCCGCACACATCATTGTTCTGGCATACGGAGGAGGTTTCGTCTTGCTTCAGCGTGAAACAGCTTTGCAACTTCTGACCTCAGATTGACAAACTCCATGGAGAAATGTACCTTTCAAAGCCTCCCATCCTGGATGTTCTCAAACTGTTCTTTCTCACACACATGCAAACACTCTCCTGCTTCCCCCCTCTTCTTGCAGGTTTCAAGTTAACAGCACTTGATTAATCCCAGGCTACAGCTTGAACCAAAGAAGAAGGAGAAGAAGATGAGGAGGAGGAAGAGGGGGAGATTTCTTTTCTTTTGATTTTTAACCCACATTTCTCTTGGCTAAGACCAGTAAACTAATGCAAAGGCACAAGGATATTAGTTTTTATTTAATGTTGCCAGGACAAACAGGCACTGCGTGTGAACAGCTGCTAGTTTTGAACACAGAGTCTACAAATGTCCTGATATTATTGTCTATTGATATTATTACTTGGGAGTTTTAATCCAATAATCTTGGAAATCTCTCTCCTATCATTAGATAATGTAGTGTGTTCTAAGCACTTCATTTTTGTAATGTTATTGTGATGTTTCTATGACTGTTTCATGCTGATGTTTTGTCAGTCCAGTTGTTTTCCTTTCTCAAAGTCATTGGGATTACTACTAGTAGTAATAAGTACAGATTGAGCATCCTTTATCCAAAATTCTGAAATACTTCAAAATCACACGTGTGACTGAGAACAGTGACACTTTTGCTTTCTGTGGCTTTAATGTACACAAATTTTGTTTCATGCACAAAATCATTCAAAATGTTGTATAAAATTAACTTCAGGCTATGTGTTTATGGGGAGGCCTCGGTGGAGCAGCTGGTTAAACTGCTGAGCTGCTGAACTTACTGTCTGAAAGATTGGCAGTTCAAATATGAGGAGCAAGGTGAACTCCCACTGTTAGCCCCAGCTTCTGCCAACCTAGCAGTTCGAAAACAGGCAAATGTGAGTAGATCAATAGGTACCGCTTCAGCGGGAAGATAATGGTGCTGCCCATGTGACCTTGAAGGAGTCTATGAACAACACCAGCTCTTCAGCTTAGAAATGGAGATGAGCACCACCCCCCACAATTAGACACGACTAGACTTAATGTCAGGGGGGGGGGGGAACCTTTACCTATTACCTATCGGTATATGAGTCAAAAATCAATTACATGCCTAGAGCTGGGTTCCATCTCTAAATGTACATATATGCAAATACAGATATTCCAAAAACTTTCTGCTCCAAAGCATTTTGAACAAGGGAGATTCAGTCTTTATTGTTCATGAAGGTGGAAGAAAGCGGCAAAAATAACTGAAATTTACCCCATTCTGAGTATTTGAGCTCTATGTTCATGACTCTGCTAATGACTGTCTTATGATGAGGATATTGGAGGAGTTGCATTTGCGTTTGTGTGCAAAGAAATGTGACGAGGGGGAACCCTCCCTCCCATCCTAGTTTCCTCTTCCCAGTTGTTTGGCACTCAATTGCAAAAAATCTGAAGTGCAGCCTATTAATCAAGGCACTTTTGTAACCTCAGCTGCCCTCCAGCTGGACAGGAAATAACATTGCTTCAAATTCCAGAATGAACTGTGAATGAAATGAATCAGGAAAGGAGTAAGGTCCAGAGGTGGTGGTGTCATATCTAACAAACAGCTCTGGATTTGTCTGGGATTTAAATTTCCATTTTAAAAAGAAGGACTGGGGGGTGGGGGGGGGGTGCACTATTGAGAAGCTGGGAAAAGGTTTCTTGGTTGACTGAAAGTTGAAAAACAGGCTCTTGAAATCCCACTCTCTCTCAGAGCCATTGTGAACTCATTTAAAAGAATGGTACTCTCACGGTTCTCTTCACCTGACTGAAGAAGTGAGTTCATGTCAGGACATCTATTGGATGGGCAAGAAGACCAGGCAAAGGACTTAAAGGGATTCACATTATTCACCTTGCAAAACAAAACCAGACCTATTCACTGCCCTGTGGACATTTGTGTTCCACAGAAATGGACTACATTGAGCATTTGAGTGTTTTCACTAACAAAATGACTTGTTTTGAAACATATATCATAGAATCATAGAGTTGGGAGAGACCTCATGGGCCATCCAGTCCAACCCCTGCCAAGAAGCAGGAAAATTGCATTCAAAACATCTCCAACAGGTGGCCCTCCAACCTTTGTCTAAAAGCTTCTAAAGAAGGAGCCTCCACTACACTCCAGAGCAGAGAGTTCCACTCCTGAACAGCTCTCACACTTAGGAAGTTCTTCCTATTTTTCAGTGGAATCTTCTTTCATGTAGTTTGAAGCCATTATTCTGTGCTCTAGTTTCCAGAACAGCATAAAACAAGCTTGCTCTCTCCTCCCTATGACTTCCCCTCACACATTTATACATGGTTATAATGTCTCCTCTCAGCCTTCTCTTCTGCATGTTAAACATGCCTAGCTGTTTAAGCTGTTTAAGCTGCTCCTCATAGGGCTTCTTCTCCAGACCCTTGATCATTTTAGTTTCCCTTCTCTGGACTCATTCCAGCTTGTTAACATCTCCTGTCAATTCCAGTGACTTCCCTGGATCTCTAGACACTATACTCCTATTTATGCAGGCCAAAAACACATTGAATTTTCCATATATATAAAATACTATTTATTCCATTGCATGGTACAAAATCCTGTCTGGCTCTTGATCATTCATTTCTATTTATCTTTTTTCCATGCACTTAATTTTAGAAAAAAAAACAAGACAAAACAAAGAAAGCAGTGGAAAAAAACAACCCATGCATCAGATAGTGCGTTAAATGATACTGATACACATACACATGCACACACAGTGGCATAAAACTCATGTGGAACACATCCCACAAAGTGGCGTTTGTTAAACCTGGCTAGTCTCCTGACATGCTGACAGTATGGTACTGTAAAACCTTCTATCACATGGCACTCAAAGTAGCCTACCGATGACCACTGGTTGCTTTTGACCCCATGTACAATGCAATTAAACTGCATTATATGACTCTACACTGCCTATATAATGCAGTTTCAAACTGCAATATGTAGCAGTGTAGATGGGGCCTGAATTTTTGGTATGACATCTTCCACATGGTCTGTTTAAAATACTGGAAATCAAAGTGTAAAACAAATAAAATCTTAAATATCAATACTAAAATATTAAAATATTCATATTTGGTTTAAAATCGATATAACGGAAAAGGACTTTTAGTGGAGTTGTGTTTTTCATTGCTTTATTACAATTCATGATTTTACATTTACTTCTGCTTTTAATTGAACTTATGATTTCATTTAATCTTTTGCATAAATCTTGTTTTAACTGTATTCTGTTTTTTAAAATGTTGTAGGCTGCTTTTGGCCCCTTGGTGGTGCAGTGGGTTAAACCGCTGTGCTGCTGAACTTGCTGACCGAAAGGTTGGTGGTTTGAATCCAGGGAGCAGGGTGGGCTCCCACTGTTACCCCCAGCTTCTGCCAACTTAGAACTTCGAAAACATGCAAATGTGAGTAGATCAATAGGTACTGCTTCTGCGGGAAGGTAATGGCGCTCCATGTGGTCATGCCAGCCACATGTCCTTGTCTACGGACAACGCTGACTCTTCGGCTTAGAAGTGGAGATGAGCACCACCCTCCAGAATCTGACACGATTAAACTTAATATCAGGAGAAACCTTTACCTTTACTTTTTACTAGGCTGCCTTGGATTCCGCATAGAAAGAAGGCAGGATAAAAGTAAATAAATAAAATAGAACATATTGATAATTATATTCACAGGGGCAATACAGCACTGTTCCATTAAATTCCACTCAACTCAATGAAGTTTAAATTAGCCACATGAACATTCGTAAGACTTCTTCATGAGGCAGAGGGTTTTTGCCTCCCTAAAATCCTTTTGTTATTGCTATTCAACCACAGATCAACACCATTTCAATAGATGGGAACTTTTCCTAACCCAGATGTTTTGGACTACAGTTCTGCAACCCCATGCTGGGTGGGGCTAATAAGTGTGGAGGCCAAAACATGCAGAAGACCTAAAGTTCCCTACCTTTGTTCTAGGAAAAAGATAAAACAGATCCAGTACTAACTCAGCAGGGGCTGCGAGAGGAAACAACAGTCAGCAAATATACCAGAAGATGCTTAATAGCTGAATCTGGACTGACATGTCCACTGTTTCATTTTTCAAAATGTTTCATTTCCTCGCAATTTATTTTTGTTATGAAGAGTTCCATGTGTTTCATTACTCATTTCTTAGAATTATATTTGTTTCACTAGCAATCAGGGAGTCATTAATTTGTTTCAGTTAGCCTTATTCGTTTTCATTTCCATTATCTGGCAAGTGAAATTTGGCACATCTAAGGGCCTGGGGGAATAACAAGCCCAAAAACATGTTGTTCAATTTTAAAGAAAATGCAAAACGTTATACCCATTAAAAAGTGACTGATTCTCCCTTTGAAATCACTGGGACATTGAAGGAAGCTGTTTCCAAAATAGTGCCTGGGTTCAAGTGTGGCTATAGCAGGCATGAGCAAACTTGGGCCCTCTAGGTGTTTGGGACTTCAACTCCCACAATTCCTAACAGTCCCAAGCCCCTTCCTTTTCCCCCTCAGCCGCTTAAGTCCAAAACACCTAGAGAGCCAAAGTTTTTCCATGCCTGGGCTATAGTATGGTCAAAGGGGTTTGTGTCTGTATTTCATTATACTCTCTCTGTATCTTCAATAGTAGTAGAATTCTGAGACATTCCCTGAAGCAAAACAGTAGAAGATCCAGGACAAGTCCTAGTTAAACTGCAATTCAGTGCCACCTCTGATATTGACGGGATATATATAAATTGCTAGGGAATGTGAGATGGAAGATTGAGTTGTGTTTATGTCTTGGTGCTAGACCTCTTTTGGATCAATTATTAACTGGTTAGATGGCTGGTTGAATTGATATCCTGCCCTTTTCCCTCTATGGGATCCAAAATGACTCTTTTAAGATTCAAGTTATCAATAAGTCTCTTGGGGTGCATCTACACTGTAGAAGTAATGTAGTTTGATGCCACTTTAAATGACATGGCCCAGTGCTAGGAGATTCTGAGACTGTAATTTGGTGAGGCACCAGCCCTCTTTGAACTAAAGGCCTTGAAAAACTGTATCTCTCAGGATTCCATAGCATTGAGCCATGGCAGTTAAAGTGGTGCTGAACTGCATTAATTCTACAGTGTAGATGCTTCTT